CTTTTAAAAGCGCGCACTCTTCGCTCTCCTTCTCCCTCCGTCCCGCTCGTTCACTCTATCTTCTTCTTCGTCCTGCGTTAAAATAGGAGGGATTAGTTCCTATGGTAGCGCGGGGGCTTAAGCATTGATGAGGTTTTTAAATGGGTTCTCCTTTGACGGTGGTAAGAGAACGCGAAAGGCGAGTAGGGGTGGCTACGACAACCAGGCCGAGGAGGCGGGCGGGCGGACGATATTTACCGGGAGATTAAAAAATCGAGGGAAAAATTAAGTGTTACGGGGGCACGCCCCTGTTCTGGACTTAATTCTACGTAATCCTCTGCTAAGATCGCCGAACCTTCCTCCCCCTCCTGCCGCCCCCCCCCCGTCACTCTTCCATGCTTTTCCGTTTCAAGAAAGGTCGATCGAGATTTTCATCTCCCTCCACGCGAGGATACGTTTCTGTCGCTTGCTAATCATCTAGGATTACGTATGCATAAAAGAATGAAAGGATTTCTCGACAGATTTGTTAGCTGCTATTTGAAAGTTAAATTAAAACAATTGGATCTTAAACAAAAAAATGTCATTTTATGCTTTCGCGGTCTTGTTAAGGTCGGTAAGGAAAAACCGAATATCCTCGTAGTGAAACTGAGCAAAATGAAGTTTCGACCAACTGATACAAAATGCTCTGCGAAAGGACTTTTTCCCAGCCAGTCGCCCTCAAATAATAATGGAACTTAATTACATGAGGCCAAGTCGATATGTTGGCGGTACAAATATTTAGAGGGCGAACGCACGGTGGTCGCGAAGCGATGTTATTAGTAAATTAACTGACATCAAAGAAAATGTGAGCGCTGGTCACTTACTCCACTAATGGAAAGCCTGCATCCTCCTGCGATATATATATATATATATATATATATATACAATATATATACAAGTATATATAGTTTTTGTATAGACATTTATAGGATATTTATATATCTATATGCATTTCTCTAACTTTAAAAATATATACCATAAAGTAATCATAGTAGAAAGAGACATGTTCCTATTTATCATTTTGCTTGTAAAAAGCTTTGAGAAAATTTCGGAAGCTGTTATCAATATATTCTCTGTTATTTGGATCAATATCATTTAAATTTAGGACGAGTAATCTGTTTCTCAATCTTCATATTACTTTTCTTTTATTTATTTAATATCATTAATCCGTAACAATCGTTTCTCATAGAGTAGCTGTTGTCATTGATGTGAATGAATATTTTAATGATCATCAATAAGTAGATAATAAGAAATTCCGAAGGTAGTCAACATTTAGAGGAATAATACGTGCTTCTTTTGACGAGAAACCGAAAGATCCGCGCGTATCGTTTCCTCCTAGTCTCATCTCTAGGACCAGCTTCGCTCCACCAGGTGTCCGTTGCGGAAGGTCTTAAGGGTGATTTTTTCTCGTTCTTCGGCCTCGCCAGACTAAATTTCGCGCGTTAAGCCCTCGGTGTAATCCTGCCCTTAATATTCAAAAACGTGATCGCCCTACCAAGAGTGCCAACGAACTGGTTCGTAGCTAGCCCAACGAAGACGCCACCTCGACGGGTAGGGAGCTTTTCATATGCTAATTGGCATTCGTCATTTTCTTATGGCGCCGACTTAAGTGTGCTTAAGGCTGCTAACTCCTTTCTTGGCGTTAGAGAGAGCTGGCTATGCCTCGCCGGCATCTTCGTAATTGGACCTCTCGCGATTCGATCCGCGCTCACATGCAGGCGAACACGGAATTCGTCATTCTCGAAATCGTAGCAAAAAATGTGACCCAATCAACGAGAAATAAAAGAAAGTTGTCCACTCACCGATATCAAGTGCAGCAGCGGAATTACAGTACTAACTTGATTATGATGATTCTGTAACATACAAACATATCTAAATTAAAATACTATTAAAAAAAAATCATCAAAATTTTACAAAATATATATATATAAGTATTGAACGTTAAATTTTCTTTTGCTCTTTGCATAAATAGTGTATTGTGTGATAAAATAAAAATATGATTTTTGAAAACTCTTCCTCTAATTTTTATATATTTAAATCATTGAAATGTACAAATTAAGTAATCAATTAAAAATAAGTAACTAATATGTAACTAATACATAAATGATAAATGAATTACTTACTCTCAGATTCCCCTCTGCTAGCATTCGATACTTGAGAGCCTATTACAACTAACCTAACCTAATTTTCTCGCGGACACAGTTTCAGATTGTAACTCTTTCTTTTATTTCTTTTTTAGGTTGCACTCGCATGTCATTAGCAGATAATTACGATTATAGATGCACTCGATGTACTAATTATCAATTAATTATTAAAGTTAATTACCTGCACTAATTATCAAAACTTTTTCCATGTAACATTGTATCGCACTTGCATTTATAAAGTAATATTAATAAATATCTATTATAGACAAACGATTTAAGGCGCTATAAATTTATTCGAATCGAAATATCCATAAGAAATTAAAAACGAAATATAGTTACATGATAAAATCAGATAAAAATTAAACATTACTATGAATTGGATATTACTACACGAAGTCACTATATTGCAAGAAATATCTATAATTATGTTCGCGCAGGTTCACTTTGGTCTCGCACTGTTCGATAACGAAAATTATTATAATATCTTTTTATGTTAAAAATTAACAACACACGGAACAGCTTGGATCACGCTGCAGTAACTGTCCGTTTGAGAGTAGGTAGGCGAATGACAACACCACGTGACTTTAGTGCGGTCGCACGCTATACATCGCAAAAACCAAATATCGATCGTTACTCATTCACTGCCGTTACGAAATATTTTACATTCGCAAAATTTAATTCACTCATTGAATATTTCATGTAATACATACGTTGTGTATTATAAAGTAAATTTTAATAATGAATTATTGCTGCGTGTTTTACGCATAGCTTTGTAAAGTTTTTAAAGTCGTCTAAGATAACGATCACTTTTGTACAATTTCAAATTTTATTAAAAGAAAAATTAAATGATTTGCATATAATTATATTAAAATTTGTTAACATCAACTGAATGCTACCATTACCGAGTATTACATAATATCATAAAAAGACAAAAGATAAAATCAGTTAAAGAGATCCTAAAGACGATTAGTCATATTGTAAATAGCACTTATATACGCAGACGATTTACGTGTCATTGACACATCACTATGCATACTACATTGATATCTCACGCATACATACACATAAATTTTCGTATAATCATAACATTTTAATCAGATTTTTAAGTTCAATTTAAAAAACTCTACGTTATTTCTTTGTGCAAACTACTTGTTTGTGGAATACTATTTCATAAGTAAATTTATATGAAGTAACTGTTATCACGCCGTGACAACTCTGGAGCGCTCAGTAAAGAAAAAAAACATTAAAATGAAAACATTAAAAAATGTTAAAGTATATTTTAACGTAACTGATAGAAGTGTTTAATTTGAATGCCAATAACATTGTAAGAATAGACACCATATACTTAATAACTGACCCTCGTTACTCTTCTACACTTAAACGACTAGCACTAATAAACTATACACACTATACATCTTCACGATATGTCGTGTCTGTAATATTATCCCCATCACGGCACGTATTACACATTAACTTTATCGAAAGATATCTCGACGGCATATCTGTAAGAAGATAACGCAGGTATTCATCGTCGAATAGTGCCGCGCCTGTGCGCTCGTTGAACGTTTACGTTTTCCTCCCGTAACGATAGAGGTAAAAAGACGAAAAATGAGCCTGCCAAAGGGTGAAAACATTCGAGATGTTATTACCATGTGAATCTGTCTTCAAGGTGAATTATTAACATAAAAAAATAACGAACTTTATCATCAAGTGCAAAGCCGAAACGAGTCTGAATAAACGTAAGTAGATACTTGTGCAGTATATGACTTTACACAGTGTACTATATATCGCAGTTTTATTGATTGTTGAAATAATTATTACAAATATATTCCCTGTTATATAATTGTTTTAAACATTTATGTTCGATATTGTAAATACATTTTAATGAAGTCTTTATAATTCCAATAATCAAATGACTCACAATAGTCACAATGACACACGATATCAAATGCGTATCATTCCTGCAATTTTATCATAACTATGTGCAATAATTTATATACAATTTTATGTATAAGTTATAATATAAAATTTATCAAGTAGCGGAACACACACATTTCTTTCTTACGTATATATTGCAAGATATTCTGAAATAAAATGTAGTTACCGTAATTTAACTTTAATTACATTAGAAAGTTTTTGGAGATAACAGTATTTTTATAGCTGATTTAGAATGATTCAAATGTAGTCAATTGTGCTATTATAGTCTCATGAACACTGCTTAAACATTTTTAGCTTTTTTTTTAAGTAAAAGCACTAATTTTTGAATTATTATTTCTATTTTGATACATATTTTAATATTTAATATTTAAAATTATTATAATATAGTAGAATTCTTTTATATTTCAAAAAATTACACTAAGAAAATTATAAATTTTAATAAACACATACATTTGTTTGAATAGTTCTAAGTAATTATTTTTAAATAATATACATATTTACTAAATGTAAACATATATTTATTTGACAAAAATTATTTGATTTAATTATATTATTTTTTATATTGACTAAATATGTATTTTTTTAATGTAAATAAATGTTTACTTATCATGTACTATTCAAAGAAATATGTATTAAGATGTAGTAAATTTTTTTCAGTGTACATGTATATATGATTATTATTAACATTATAATAGTAATAATCATAAAAATGGAGCATCTAACCTTAATTATTTTACCATGCAATTGTAGTCATTAATACCAAACACTTTTCTCTCAACAATGTACGTAATTAAACAAAAAATACTTCAATAACTTAACTAAATAAATACTATATCTACATGTATACGCGAATAACATATAATCTGATCTTATTTAAAAAGTGTATTTTCTTTCAGGAAAATGACATTCCGTTTTCCTGAAGTAATAAGAAGTGGATCGGAAGTGGAAGGCGGTTTGGCAGGACCAGCAAATCCAATACCTAGTCAATCAATCGATTGTGGCTGCGGACAAATGCAATGCCCGAAGCTAGCAAAATTTGCAACGCGAAAACTCTTCGTGGGATTGATTTGTTGGGTCGGTATGGTGCAAGCTGCTTCGTATGCTTACTTTCACGTTACAGGGTCCACGATAGCTAGGAGATTTCAAATCGATCCTTATATAATGGGTGCGTATTATAAACGATGCAAAAAAATATTTAATTGAAAAAATTCCTGTGTATTTCACAAAATTTATATTATATTTTAGTGCTAATAATTGTTTTTTAATTATTATGTATACGAAAATTATTATTGATACGAAAATCTGACATATAATATTTCTTAAATAAGTTAATTTTTTCAGATTGGATTCTTGTTACGGCAGAATTGACACCTATTATATTAGGATTACTGGTAGCATATTGGGGTGACAAAATACACAGAGCTTCATGGATAGGAGCCTTAGTTCTCTTACAAAGCGTTTCGCATTTATTTTTGATAATATCTCATTTAACACATCGTGTTCGTGTGATTGAGGAAACGCAAAATGTCACTCACATGTCATTATACGCGGGTTGGTAGTCAAAACATACAATAAAACTTTAAAACAGAATTTCTAATTTAGCAACATCATATAAAAAATGATCGAAAAGTGTTCAATACAAATAAACAAAGAAGGCCGTAATTGGTCAATTGTAATTGACATAGTACTTATTAAACAAAAAATAATTCTCTCGTGTTATATTTTTTAAATTTCACAGATGATAGTCCAGAATTATGTACTCCTGAATTATCAAGAATCATCTTAGAAGAAGAACCCTGCTATGTTACTATGATTATAATAATCCTGGTACTGATCGTAAGCGGAATGGCAAATGTCACATACTATGCACTAGGAATTTCTTACTTAGACGATAATACAAAAAGAAAGCATATGACCGATTTCATCGGTATAATAATCGCCGTAAAAATCATCGGGATTTTTCTCGGATACCTTTTGGGTTGGGGATGCCTGCGGTGAGTATTGTATATGCTTTACTACATTACATAATTAATTTACTACATTACATAAATATTACATAATTGTTAGGTATTATTATTATGTTTGCAATATTTGAACATTAATTACTCAATATGAAATAAATCTAAATAAATGTATATCTATTTTTAAACCTATCAACTTGCGTCTCAGGATAGACGCGGAAGATTTAAGTGTTGTAAATTCATATCGAGATCAAATCGGAGCATGGTGGCTTGGATTCCCAATTCTCTCCATATTATTGATGATTCCCGGTTTGCTGCTTTCATGGTTCCCAAGAAGATTACCTTCAGAAGTATAACATTATATACAAATATAAAATATAATATCAATTTCTAAATCGATTATATGAGATTTTATAACTCAAAAATGTTTTGAAAATTTACTAACTATAACAATTTTGTTAGTATTAATAATACTGAGCTATATATTTCTCTTTATTATTTTACATTTAAAAAAAAAAATAATTTTCCAGCTTATAACATTATATTTCTTTGTCTTAGGTTGTTGAACAAGCCGCAGCTTCACTTCTTGATTGGGCTACAATACGTAATCGAGCACCCCACAGAGCAACCAGTCAAAAAATTGGCAATCCCGATTTTTGGCCATCATTATGCAGATTGTTTACTAACAGAATTTTAATATGTAACATTTTGGCGACAGCGTTCAGTGCCATGGCTCTTCTAAATTTTATGATGCACGAGAACATCTTTTTAGAGTCTAGATTTTACATACCTAGACCGACAGGAATGCTCCGTGGATTTGACGATCCTCTGCCTTCCAGGCTAGTTGCCAGTAAGATTAATCAATATCTCTCTCTTTTAACAAGTATATAGATAAAAGAAGGAAAAGACAAAAAATTATAGCGTTATCAATTTCTTAGAATATTAATAATTTGTAATAATTATCAATAGTTATCTTCTGTATAAAACTAAAAAACCAAAATTTTCCTTTTAATTAATGTTCTATAAAGGAGATTAAATGTGAATACCCTTATAAACCTCCATAATATTGGATTTTTTTTTATAAAAGAAAATTATACAAAAAATTATTAAAAAGTGAAAAATGACTACTAAATTATTGAGACTTAAAAAATATAAATATATTTTATTTCCACATCGCATGTTATTGTAGAAATGTTAAAGTGTAATATTACATAGTATTAAATAAATCATAGCAAGAAAAAATATAAAAAAAGTAATAGGAGGAAAAAATAGCATGAAATAATTTATACTTAAAATAAATATTCACCTTTATTCTAGATATTGGAAGACCTATTATGACTGGACTCATTGTAATCATTAGTGGCTTCGTGATAGCCAAGGCAAAGCCACGAGCAAGATATATTATTGGTTACAATTTTGTTATCGTGCTTCTCACAATTATGATTATCATCGCACTAATCTTTGTTACCTGTGACAAACCACCTATCGTCGACTTGGAAAAAAGCTCGTAAGCATCATCTAATTTTTAAAATTAATATTTATTGTGTTGTTAAAAACAAAACAACAAAAATATTGAATCTTATTCTATGACATTCACAAATTTCACGATGATCGTATAAACAAGTAAGATTATTTGTTAATTAATTATATTTATTGACTGTAGCGACACTTTATTAAGATATTGCAACAAAGACTGTCATTGCTCTAAAGACTCCGATTTCCGACCGATTTGCGACAGTTTGGGAAAATTTACGTACTATAATCCTTGCTATGCCGGCTGTACGACAATTATTTACGTTGACAACATAAAGATCTATAGCGGTTGTTCCTGCGTGGAGGATATCACAGAATGGAGTAATGATCAAGCGAAAGATGGCCCGTGCGATTCGAGTAAATGTCAGGCTGGCTGGCTGTCTTTTGAGGTAATTACATTTGTATTTACTTATTTTATTTGTAAGTGTATTATAAGTATTTTACTTAATTAATTCTATTTATAATATAATTATATTAATTAATATATTATATAACTAAATTTTTTGCTATTTAATAGAATCTAATGAAATATAAATAAAAAACGTAAAGAGTCAATAATCAATCATTTTACTCATCTACTGCGGTTTTGCGTCTACATCTATAGGAAAATCTGAAGATGGCTCGATCAAGAAGCCGAAACATGTAATTACTAAACATAGTACATTGTTAGATCATCAAAACAATATAAGATTTCCAACGAAGATTAATAGTATTATATATTTATATATTTTTTATATTTAAATTTTATTGATTATATTGACTCTTTAAGCCTTTTACTTATATATCATTGTTATTTAATAATAAGAGTCTTAATATTATACATATTTATTTATAGAATCTAATCAATAGTGAATGTAAAATCTTTTTATCATTTTTGTTTCAGTTTGGATGTTTATTGGCGTACACGTTAATCGCTTCCACTTTGGTAGGAGATGTACTGGTCAATATAAGATCCGTCTATAAGCAAGACAAAGCTATCAGCATAGGTTTCTGGATGATGTGGGTCGCACTATTCGTTTACGTTCCTGGCAAAATTCTTTATGAATTCATTTCGCGTCGGACGTGTCAATATTGGGGCAGTCAAGAGACAATTTGTCATTTACACAATTCCGAAAAACTCGGGAATTACTTGTGTTATTTGACAATACTTTTTTTATTACTTTGTGTTTTATTTAAAATTATTGTATGGTTTTTCTGTAAAAATTTACAATTATATGAAGTTGATACTAAAGATCAAGAAAATATTGAGCTACGAGAAATGTTCGAACCAGCAGTAATAACTGAGCTACTCGAAACATCAAATAACAACAGTAAATACTTTTTTTAAATACTAAATTAATTAGTCTGTAAAAAAACTAAAACTTCTTTTTTTTATAAAATAAATTAAAATTAATTCTTTTCTCTGTAAAAATCAGTGCTATATATGCGTTAATATTTACAGATGAAATGAGAGAAGTGGAGGCAGTTGTTGAACCAGAACTTGCAGAGTCGAGAACAGTATCGCAGACAAAATTTCAAGCAAAACCAGAGGAAATATCAGCGAAGGAAGAAGAAGATACTCAAAAGAACGCACCTGTAAAGTTGAACGGCATGATGGTTCCATACAATCGTCGCCCTGATTCGAATTCTCCCACAAATCGCAATTTGTCATCGATTCGTAATATCGACTCTGACGATGAATTAGACAGCTCGAGCGACGAGAGTAAGAAACGGTCGAATACACGAGTCGCTTATACACCGCTGGAACTCGATTCTGATGTCGAGACCGATCTCAATAGTGTCGGTCCCAGATCAAGAAAGCGCGTTCCGAGCAAAGATTATGATCAAACTCAAGATGAGAAAGATCATCCTTCATCCAGAAAATCGTCATTAAAGCGCCGATTTCCAAATCCCGATCACTACGAAGATCCACGAAGAAGTCGAAATAGATTCTTGAATCCGACTGGTTATCAGGACGATTCCTCAAAGACAAACAGCTCCGAACTCGCGAAGAAGGGTCAAGAGAGCGAAGTACCCAAACAGGGCAACTTCAATGAAGTTGGCATACCGATAGTGGATCAGTTTCCGGACAAGAAAGGCAACTTGGGTAGTACCAATACGGCACACTCGAGTGACGTGAAGTCATTGATCGATCGATACGAGCAAAACGCGAGTCAGGAAACTCTAAACGAAGATCGGTTATCAATGAAGTCGACAGAGGATATGAGAAGTAGACCGGAGAACAAGATAGGTATACCTCTGGTAGCCATGGTTCCTGGTAGGTCATCTTCTCGAGGACAATCCTCTTCAGGCTTTGGTAGCTTGCCAGATATACAAGATAAAAACTCTGACCCATGTTCGGAAAGACTTGAGACTCCCAGTCCGAAAAATGTCGCTAAAGGCAGCAAAGTACCGCGTCAAACCGATCTTTAGAATTTGAAATCACTCTAATCTAAACGTGATAGATAACACATGACACCTGAAAATCGTATGATGCGGATATTTATGGAGGTACGAGTACTCCATTCGTGCAATAGAAGCACTATCACGATAAATTTATATCGCGAGTGATAACAGGCCCAGACTTCAAACATACACAACACTACACAATACTATCTCTGACACCTGTCGCATTTAAGATATAAAATCATTGATTTAACTTTGTATTTTGATAGGTGAACAGTAAAATTTGACATACATATTCTTGAATTATGAATCGTAATATCGAATTGCTCTAATTATCATGCAGAATTTAGATGTTGCGATCAAAAAGGTATTTTTACCCGTGAGATTCCAAAAATTTAATAAAGGACAATCGGCTAATAAAATATTTGCTTTGTTTCATGGTATACTTCTATTTATAGTCATCCTTTATAAAACGTAACGACGTTCATTATAATTTTCTGATATTTATTACACGATTAAAATCTGTTATATCCTAATTTTGTGGATTATTTTGCAATTCGCTTACCTCTTAGTAATGACTTCTTTTATATCTTACCTATAGATTCAAATTCCTTTTCAACTTTAATAACAGCGAATACATGTATTTCATCGTGAGTAGATAAATTACGGTGTTTTTTAACTAATTCAAAGTATAATCATTATATGTACAATTATTTAACTTTATAAATGATTCATGCTAGCATGAATCATTGCTTTCACCATCGACGATGTAAGCTATGTATACGGAGTATTATATATTATATATAATATATGTTATATATATTATATATGTATATTAATTTTATTATTTTCCGTTTAAATATGAGTCCAAAATAAAACAAGTATATTTATACCATACGTACAGCGAATTATAAATTCACCCGTAATAACAATAAAAATCATTAATCGCAGTAAATTAAAAATAATAAAAGATCGATGATCGCTCTGCTTTTGCGAATACCATGGGTGATCTACCAACAGTCGGTTCTATCTAGGTTACTACGAGCTTTAAATAGCTAAGGAGATGCTTAAGGTACTTGTAAAGTCTTTATTTGTCGGTTCTCGCTCGCTTCGCGTTCGTCATTCGCTCCTTCTTGAAGATCTTCGGTCGAAGTCTCTCTTCACGCGCGTAAACGTTTACCCCGAAAGGGTGATTGAACTCGATCATCAATTATTCTTTAATGCGTCTCACCAGGCTCCTCGGCTATATCTTCTAGTTCGATTTCCTCATCAAAGATTTTTACATCTTTGACGAAATACCAAACTCCCATGTCGAATAGCGTACCGATCGTTACGAAACCTAAAATGACAAAATGACTATAATACACACGAACAATCAGAACTGCATTCTTTGGATACGATCGTTTTGTAAAATACTCACTGGCCGCGGTGAAATTCAGCAAATACCTCAATGCCTCACCATTGTAGAGCCAGCAATTTCCCGTCCCTGAACAAGTCTTACCCCATACGAGACAAGTATTGTCTAAAAGATCAAATATTAATTAATTTACAAATAGAGCATACAATCAAGCGAGTTTAAATGTAAAGATATATGGAGTTTAAATGTAAAGATATATCTTCAATGATGACTTGAACTAATAAAGTCATGCTACTGAAAAAAATAAATAAAGATATCGAGGATTTTATTTGCCATTTGATAATACAACGTCAGGCAATCTGTCTCTGTCGATGTTAATAACCGCGCGCGTGTGTACGAATGAAGTTTATCACTAACCTAATATAAATCCAAACAGAATAGGCGATGGTATAAAGGCAAAAAGACTCATTATCATTAATCCGAAGCCCATGGCAACCGTCTTGTCCTTCTCGTCGACACATCTTACAGAAACTAGGAAATTCGACGCTCTTCCAGTTGCGCCGCTAAACTTCAAAAAACACACCACCGTCAGAAAGATGTAGAACTTCTGCATACAGTCGACTGGACACGAACCCGGGATAGCCGTTCCCAAAGTTTCCACGGTGGGTTCGGTCGTTTCCAACGGAACTTCGGTAAAGAATGGAAAGGATGTGATGTTGGAAAACGGATGCGTCAAGGAACGAGCCAATTTTGGTTTTACGCAACTGCAGTCCGTATATACTTTGCTGCCATTACTGTGAAGCTTAAAAAGAAAATACAAGAAAGTTTAATTAGTTTCATTAACAGAAAGTACGCGATAATAGAAATTACTAAAAATATCTCGCCTTTAAATGCAGCAATAACTTAAAAATGTTCTAACATGAAAAATTGCTTAACGGAGATTTTTTTATTTCCTTTTACAGAAATTCTTCTTTTTTTACACAGCCAGTTTTTTTTTTCTAAGACGAGATTGCTTTTCACAGAGATTGCGCAAAATGATATCGAACCTTTATACTGCGGCAGCCAGCATGACATGCGGATATAAACGTTTGTCCGTTATCGGAGCATACAGGATTATATTCGACGTAGTCGCAGTGACACTGTTCGTTGCAGGGTAGCTGTGTTTTCAATACACCGTTCGGCTGAATAGCAATCTGGTTGTCGTTTGCTGAGCAACCGAGAAAGGCGTAAGAGATCATTCCCAGAATTGATATAATGCCAATCATGACATTCCATGCCGCCAGGTATCTAGCCTTTGGCTTGTACTTGGAGATGATCAGACCGGACAGTAGAATCCCAAAAGCACTGAATACCAATCCGACCGTGCCGGTGATCAATGACGAAACGGACGCTGATTGCTTGTACTGGGTCTCAATGTACTTTGGCATAAAGATCCAGTAGGGCATGTAGCCCATGAAATAGAAGACGGTCGCCAGATTATTGCACATTAGAGTCGTGTTTGTTAGCAGACGCTTAAACGTTCTCAGCATGTCCGAGATTGACGCCGGCAGCTCCGATTCTTGCTCCTTGATACTCGCAGCCGATTTGTTGCGTTCCAGAGCTAGGACTTTGCGAGCGGCAGCTCTCGGCAGCGTTTTTGGAAAGAGAGCGATTATGCTTGCGAAAATGGCGAGGAGAATGGCCAAAATAATCCATCCTAACCACCAAGCGCCTAACCACCTTAAATATCATTAATGTAAATTTATTAGATGTATAATTAATTCGTATAATCGTATAATTAATTAACAGAAATTCTTCCAAACATCTATATGTCTTATATGACGATTTGTTTGATAAATAATTTATCGACAAAACACTGTTAATAATTTACAATCACTGTTTAATTGCAATGATATCATTGCTCCAGTCCTACATACCTCGGGTCTTGCATCGTAATAGTGGGAGTTAAAGTCGGACTGATGTAGAACTTCAAGGAGAATGAGGCCAGTCCGTAGCCAATGGCGGGTCCCAGCATTCGCAGAAAGTACGAGAAACTGATGAGCGCCGGCGTTTTCGACTTTTGTATGTTGTCATCCATGTACGACACACCGAGGGTATAATAAAGAGAACCACCCACTCCAGATACTAGTTGAGCTATGAAAAGCAGCACCTGTGGCGCAAAGTTTCCATCTTCAACTTCGCAATCCATTCCGCGATTTTCTTTGCCCATACACAGAAATTTTCGTGAACGTTTGTCAAGAATCGTGCTGGTGTTTTGTGTACTTTGCGCTCCATATTCCTTGGTCAGGGACAGAGCATCCTCGCCGGGTCCGTAGAGAAAATGTGGCAGCATCGTAAGACAACAGAAAAGTACAACCTGATAAAATAGACAATATTTTATCAATATATGCAGAAATGATTTACGTCCAAGTCGTGAGCTTTAAAATACCTACAAGATCATACTTTTTGTTAATTCTAATTTTATTTTTTTATCTCTATCATTATTTTGATAATTTATTATCGTATTATAAATATTGCAACACGCTCGACTATATCTGTTCGACATCTAGAGCATTCCGCAAGCGCCTCTTTACGAAGAATGGAGCGCTTAGCTAAGCACACGACGACGAGAGTACGATGGCAAGAGGCATGAATGAGCGTAACTACGATTCTAACGCTTCCTAATTTAATTAAGAACCGACCAATCGGTGAGTTATGACGTCTACCGGCTCGTTCCTCGGGGCGTGTGCTGACAGCTGATTTCGTTTCTTGTCAACGCGAAAGTACGGCGCGCGAATAATACGCGGTGCACGCCGCATTAATCGATATCCGAGGATGTATGTGATAAAACTTACGGTGTAAATACCGAAAGCGATCCATCGAGGCCTGTGACCCCTTCCTGCGTAATACGACAGGGCGACGGATACGAAAAGCTGCGAGATGTCGTTACCCACTGTGATGAGACCTGCATGAGAAGAAAGTACGTACGTGGCGTAAATTGTGTCGTGACAATTTATTTAACGACAGTCCTCACGCGAACGATAACTCCACTTTGTTTTTAAAATGTTAAACTTGTTTACAAGCGATCTTAAAAGAATATTTAAAAAATTGTTAAAATTACCAACTCTTATAAAATATATTCTGTATAAGTAAATTAAATTATTAGTGAACAAATTTTAACAAAAATGTAACGCTTGAAAATTAATTACATTAACAATGTAAATTTAGAATATATATGATAGGTAATGCCACTTCAAACTTGTTCTATTTTTTATTTACTCACAAAATATTCGATCATTTATGTAAAAAATGAAATATAGTAAACATTTTTCATTTCCAATATCTATGGATATTAAATTAATTTTTGTGACACAGTGTTATATACAGATATATATGTATATAATGAAACATATTATACATACCCGTCGTTTTTGAGGGTATTTTAAATCTCTTCTCGATGGTAGTGATAGTGCCATTGAAATAGGCATAACTTGCGGAAAATATGCAGCCAAGCACACCGTAGAGAAACACGTATGCCTTCTTGTTGGCGAACTTCTGCAGAGTTGGACCCTTGAGGCACCATATGCCGCACGAGGTGTCGTCGGTGATCGGCAGCTCCTTGAAGACATCATCGAGGCCTCTGGTTGGCGTCGTGGGTGATGACGGTGTCGCGGGCGGTGTCGTCGGCACCTGTAACAGCTTCAGGTTCTCCGGCCCGTTCTTCTCGTGATTCGTGTTGCTCGAGTTGTTCTTCATCTTCGCCTCGACCTAATCGTCGCGACTGCCGGCAACTGGCAAGCGCCTAACACCAGTGGCTTCGAGCGAATTCAGTGACCTCAATCGCGGGTCGCACGGTACCGATGTGACTTGATCGTCCTCGCGACTCTTGGCATCGCTTTTTTCGTTCGGTCTGGACTCGCCCCCGCGCTCACTCGCGGAATCTACTCGATCTTTTACCTCTCGCACTGTCCCTCGTGTCCGTCACTTTATCACGCGGTCACGTGTCCTCCATGTTTCGACTTGATCTCACCCAGGCAACACCTACGCCGGGAAATCTAGGGGTTGACTGCGATTGTCGCTCGCGCAGCTTGATTTATGTTACGAGGATGATCGCGAGAGATGTCGATGGAAAAATTTAAACCTTCAGTCGAACTGAAGATATAATGTATTTGTACAACAACCTCTGACACTGAGGTGCCAAACAGTATTATCAGATTGCGAGTGTTGAAATGGAATAATATTTGAACGATATCGCTAAAAAAAAGCGACAAGAATATGAAGACAAGGTATATCTTGATTGTTTCTAGTACTTAAACCGTGCAATATTCATTTAAACAATGAGTCATCAGTCATATAAAATTGTTGTAGGAAATAAAAAAATATATAAACTCTTATATATGTTATACCAATAAAATTTATATTTCTTCATAAAAAATTGAATTACATATTTTAATCACGAATGATCAATGATGTCGCGAGCAAAAAATTCACGAACTGCGGCCACCTACCGCTGATACAGGATGGACCCAGGATTAGTTTGAATGATGGCCGAAACGGAGTATCGATATACAGCGACGATCTCTTTAAAAAAAAAAATTTCGACCGATAACCGATTATTCCACCGTGAGTCAGCGTGATCTCTCGCAAGCTATAGATTTGCGTCCGAAAACGAGCGATATTCTTCCGCAACTGAGGCGCCTAAACGCAACACAGTGTAGACTGTGTTCTATGCCTACTGAGGATCCCCCCACCTCCGCCCCCCAAGGAGCCGATCGTACGAGAGACAGCCACGATCTCTTTACACGTACCTACTGTCCACCGTGTCGTTATCAAGCGGGTAAATTCTGTCTCTCACAATCAGCCTATTTCACCATCCCCTCCTCCCAGTCTCTCTCTCTCTCTCTTTTCCTTTTGATTATCCCTCTCTTCTTTTCCCCCCTAAACCGGTCGCGATTCTTTCGATCCCTCCTCTACTACTAGCCGTCTTCGTCGTCTACGAATGTCGTCGGCTCGATCTATCTTGGTCTATGTGATAACCTACACCTGTATGATGTTCAAAAAGGAGTAGGGAACGGCTGACTCCTACGCAGAAAAAGAACAATTAACGGGGTAAGCGCCCCGTGCCGTTGCGAAATTGGATGTACGAATCGGATGGCGAAGCCGTAAAGCACGTCTTACGATCTACTGCTGCTACTGCGGTCTGGCGGCTTAATTTCGAGCACCTCTCAAAATCATTACCTGTGAGTTGTTAATTAATTAATTGCCGTAGTATCAAAATCAAGCTTCGTTCGTATGCTCATTCTCAAGGCTTTTCCAAGTCACTTAAACGGTTACTTAATTGTATCACTAATTATAGGACACTCTATGTACGCATTAATTAATTTTTTATTCTTATATACTTCGAGGTAAAAAGTGTAATGTAATAATATTTAATTAATTATATCACATTTATTGCGTCAATGATTTGCGACTTTTAAATAACACGCTATCTTATGACGTCTGATAGATAGACGTTCTGGATGGCACAAGAGGAAAATTGTTAAGATAAAAAAGATATTGTGTATACATGTGTACGTGTGTATCGAAATGTGTGTATAAAGCACCTCTTTCGAACTGTTCTACCTCGTAAATCTCGGCGTTGGTTGGTGATACGGGGCATCCCTATCGGGGACTATTCGCGACGTACCGACCGCGGCGACGTGCACGAGGTCTTGGCTTTCGGTACGGTGTTGTCTAAGCTCATTTCTAGTCAACCTCCGGGAGCAGAGGCTCACATTGTGGACCCATTATGATTTAATAGAACCGACGTGATGTACACACGCGCGCACACATAGGCACTCGGTAAACTCTTCCGTCTATTCCCGCGCATTGCTAATGGCATACATCAAACAGCTATGTCGCTAATAGCTGATGGGTAATTGCCGAAGTTTAATTTTTATGCTCGCCGAATGACCAGACCACGTGGCCACCTACGTTAAGACCATGTTGTTAGATTCACGACCGTATCGACCGTTTTGAATGAAGTATTTTCCGAAAAATCATCAATAATTGACGGATCAATAATGAACAAATGGTTTCAAACTTCAAGTTTATCTATACATAACGTTGCATCTTTTCGTCTCAGTAGCATTCAATTTGTTCGACCTAAGTAAGATGCTGTTATCATACGATGGATTTAAAAAAGAAAAAGAAAATTGCATTTCTGTTATTCGAAGTAATCTTAAATAAATATCTGGCTATCATCTTGTGCACAAAGAGAAGCAATGATATAAAATGACGTTTAATACAAATTTTCTTATCACATTGGTAATCTGTATGCCTAAATGACTACCCAAATTCGCGTATGTATATGTCTTAACGTTGAAAAAATAACTTCGCGCAATAAAAGAATTTCTAAAATACTTGTAAAAATGTAAACGTTTAGATATTTATTAAATAAAAAATTTATAAAAGTCTCATACAAATAGGTCAGTCATCATTCGCATCAAATCAAGTTGGCAGTAAGTGATATCAAATTAGCTGAGATTTCGTTTCGCAAAGCGTTGTTTATCATGATTTGCAAGAAATGTCTTTCTAGCGGTATTTGCAAACCTGCCGAGACAAATAAAAATTTACATCTACGATAACAACATCATAAATACACCAAATAATACATCGCGTGTACAAATTTCTTGGAAACTTCGATCTACCGTTTGATGCGTGTAAATAAAACTTCGCAGAATCAATTTGTTAAGATATCAATTTATTAAGCGTTAAAAACCTTGCTAAGGATTGCTAAAGGATGCGTTTTATTCTTTTTGTAACTTGTAATAATCTTTTAAATCTTTATTTATGTAGATATATAAATATTTTTTATTATTATATTAAATCAACAAAAATATTCTACCATTTCTAGAATTTCCATTTTTAATATTTTTATTAATATAATTATGAAATATTATAACTATTAAGTAGTGTTATTTAAGAGTATTATCTAAATAAATGTAAAAATTAATATGCCGAACCAAAGTTTGCACTGCACAATTTATGATACTTTGAAGAGCATGACGTTGACCAGGTTTAAAATTGGCGAGACGCTTCCCATTGTTAAAAAAAAATCCAAAATCCACTGTGATTTATAAACTCTTTATTTGCATGATTCTCTTGCAAGATGTTTACGCAACCTGATTCGTGTATATCACTCGGAAGCTGCCACCTTCTTGTGGACCGAGGTAAAATTCAAGAAACTCTTCTCCGCGAAACTTTGAATCCACGAATTTGCTATTAATAATTAATTATGTTAAATGCACTTTGATTTTGTATTAATATTTTATTGATTATATATTTATATCGAAACAACAATTTATATCAAAAGGTAATGAAAAATTAATGATATATAGTTTAATGAATATCTCTTATAAATTCTTTAATATACATAGCATAAAATTAGTAAGAAATTTTATGTAAAATTAGATAAGATAACCACAATTTTTAGTGCATGATCTAGCTAATGAGATATACAATATTATTTAAGAATTCCCTTTGATGCCATACGTTTTATTATTGATGTAACATATTATGTACCTACAATTTTTATTGCTTTCAAAACTTTCATAAAAACAAACATATTGTAACAATTTTTTTCAATCTAAGCACTAAAAAAATGAATACATCAAGTAAATGTATATATGTGTATATCTTTATTAATAAGAAATTATAAGCAATAAAATAAACAAAAGTTTCAAAAAAGAATACTTTTCGAAAAAAAAAAAAATCGAGTATGCCATATCGAGAATAGAATTGAAGACTTAAATCAGATTAAGTAAGAATGATTATACTGTTCTTGTTCAGATGTCACACATTGCCAATAATCTGTTAAATGTATATTTACGCTCAAAGACACGTGTCACTTGCACAACATCATAAATCAATTCCGTTGCAATTTCTCTTTGTATCATATTCTATTAAAATGCACATGATAAGTTAACTTACAAAGTACAAGGTTACTTCACTAGCACATGGACAAATTTTGCTTTAAATGGCACAACCCACTTGCGTTTGTAAATTACGCAGCATTCGTAGAATGACAGAAGGAACGCCGGATGAGCTGCATTAGTATCATTATTATTACAGCAGAGGTAATGGTCAAGTATTTTTCTCGAGTTGAGTTCTAGCCTTTACTTGCGATTAATTCTTTATGTTACCTGTCTGCCCGTTTGGACTATGTTAACACGCATCTGGCAGTTTTTACAAGAAAATATAATTTTCCTTTTATTAAAAAAAATATACATGGTGTCGAATGTCATGTGACATATTGTGACTTGTGATCCACGCAATTTCTTTTTCAAAAGAAAAAACCTCGAGGTGGATTAAGCATAATCGATAATAAAAGCGGCACGATCCTTAAGCTTAGAAGTGGTGGAAGGTGAGTAAACCGATTGCTTCCGGCCATCTATATCACACGCATCTGTCCTTCTTTATCGGGCAATCTCGCTTCTAGTCTGATCGGACTGTACCTCGACTTAGAAGACGTTGATGAGGTCTATATGAAAGATGGGTCAGGGTCATGCACAATGCATACCGTGTACACACAACAGCAAAACTTCCCAATACCAGGTCGAGGCACGAAGAAGTGTGATAGCACTTCTTTTTATATATAATGTTCTTATAAGAAAATCTTGCATTAAATATATATATATGTAAATATTTCTGATATTTGAAAGATATTAGAAAAATGCTATGTCTGTTTTAGTATATATATATATATATATATAATTTTATAGAAATCACTTAGAAATTTTACACGTAATAATATAATAATTTTTTTTACAACTACTCCATAATTTTAAGAAGGACAGTTTATTTGTATAAATTATTGTTTATTATTTGCATTTTTCTGATACACACACTTTTTCTTAAATTCAATTAATTTAACAAAACAAAAATCGACAGAGGATTTTTCATAAATTCTGAAAATTATGGCATATCGATTTGCTGTCATTAACAACGTAGCAACGAATCCTCATTCAATGTTCAGAAAGACGTTCTTAGTCGCTTTGCAGACCTCATTTTTCCTTATTTGCGACAGAATAAGGTAGAACGCTTAATCGTAATGCCAAAGCGCATCCTCTAATGGTGTTCCAAAGGATGCGATCAATAGGGACGACTTGACGTCACGAGAACGTCGCGGAATTCATTACACGGGCCAAGCCGCCCGCTTTAGTTGGGTGGGCTTAAAAATTAAAAGGCTCTCAAACAAAAACTCCCTT